TAAGCTACCGGGAACCACGGAAATTCTCACTCCAAATTCAACTCGGCACGCCGCCTAACCACCTTTAGGCATTAAATAAATTCAAATAGACCTAAAATTTAGAGAGACTAATTCCAGCGGTCTGTGAAATATCAATGGTCGCCTATCATGAAAGCATAAATTTATTTGAATTTCTGAAATAAATGAAAAAATTCCGAGAAGGATTTAATCTTGAATTCAATTCAAATTCACAATATTAAAAATCCAAAAGTCGTTATTACTCAAAATTCAAAAAACTTCTAACAATGTGTCCCCTGATCCTCGGTTCTCTTGCTATAGAAGCAACTTGGATTTCCTTAGAACCCATAAATGAATAAAAAAATGTTTGGAGAAAAAGAAATGCGTTTCTCCGCTGGGAGTCAAGATATTCGCGTCTTCTATCGATTTAACACCTGCCTTGGGACCGCTAAAAATACACACGAATAGCGAATGATGGTTATAGTAAGGTTTTTGTATTTTTTTTCACCTTTATTGCACTCAATTTTCTCTCACTGGGGACTGACCAGTGGGAACAGTGATTTTGTGCGGTATGACTGACAATAATGGCAATGGACACAGCGGAACTCGTCCGCGGCATCTCTCCGGTGTTTCCTGTATTTCCGGACAGGAAGCGCAAGCGGACCGTGGAAACAGGTCGTTCTCTGGCACCTTTACTAATTTTTTTTGTCCGTCGAGGTCTTCACCAGGGATTCATTTGCGTTCTAATTCAACAGGACGTCGTCTATCATTTTTTGGATTTTTGGTAATTGTGTGTCTATGGCGGGAACGAACTGTTTACGACGGAAACGATAAACGATCTTTTTTTATTGCTTATGAAGATGTCTACAACAAATTTCCTTTCATATTACCTCGTAAAATCATTCTTTATGAAAGCACATCCGGAGAAATGTGTATTTTTTTCATTTGAATTGAAAAAAAATGGATGTGAAGTTTTCTTATTTGTGTCAACAATATTTTTCTTCGCAATTAATTAACTGGAATGTTTATTACAATAATAATGTTATACTTATAGAGAGAAATAATTTTAGTTTTGAGGCTTTTAAAAAACCTTCAAAAATTCGGTACTCGAAATTAAGACTCCACAATGAAGGGTCACGAGGGTCGGAATAAGGTCATGAGGATCGGATTAAGGGTCATAAGGGTCAGAATAAGGGTCACGAGGGTCGGATTAAGAGTCACAAAGGTCATATTAAGGGTTATATGGGTCAGATTAAGGGTCAGATAGAGAGTCACAAGGGTCAGAATAAGGGTCACGAGGGTCGGATTAAGGGTCACCGGGGTCAGATTAACGGTCATAAGGGTCAGATTAAGTCACAAAGGCCATATCAAGGGTTATGTATCAGATTAAGGGTCATGAGGAACGAAATAAGGTCATGAGGGTCGGATTAAGGATCATAAGCGTCAAAATAAGAATCACAAGGGTCAGATTGAGAGTCACAAGGGTCAGAATAAGGGTCACGAGGGCCGGATCAAGGGTTACCGGGGTCAGATTAACGATCATAAGGGTCAGATCAACAGTCACAAAGATAATATTAAGGGTCATAATGGTCGGATTAAGGTTCATAAGGGTCAAAATAAGAATCACAAATGTCAGATTGCGGAGTCACAAGGGTTAGAATGAGGGTCACGAGGGTCGGATTAAGGGTCACCGGGGTCAGATTAAGGATCGTAAGGGCCAGATTGAGAGTCACAAGGGTCATATTAAGGGTCATATAGGTCAGATTAAGGGTTGCAAGCCCCCAAGTATATCATATTATTATGGAGAAGTTGATCTTCGGTGATTGTTTGTGAATTCGCGTAAATTTTTAATGACGCCAAGTCGTCAGGAAGTCATCGACCTTCATTCGCATCCTTGAATTAATTATTCGTATCCAATCAAGGGGCAATGGGAAAACTGGTATATATGATATCTGCACGCAATGTTTCGTGATACGACAGGAACGACAGTGGAGTGTCTTCTCTCTGAAGTAAAGTTCATTCACCAGTGTAAAAGTTTAGTCGACTCGAAGGATTCTCGGGATGGAGGAGTAAGTGGATGGAGTCCTGGAGACATGTAAACAAATTGATTTTCATTTGAATAACATGTCAGCTGTACTGCCTAGTGCCACTCGGTTCTCTTCATATTTGCTATTTTCTCCCTATTGTGACTGATATGTACATCATTTGCATGAGCATTCTATGAAGTCTCATTGAGCTTTTATTTAATGACCTTGTGTCATGAGACCGTGTGGACTTCCGGTAGGAAATAGAGAACGATATGAATTTTTGAGGGAATTAATTATTTATACAAACTGAATACTCAATTTTTCTTTTGTATTTTTTTAATTGAAGGGTGCACGTATGAAAAAAATTCGTAGAAAAACCTAGCGCATGCGCTTAACAATTCTATTGGATTTCCTATTGAACTTTCTATTAGTTTTTCTTCGATTCTAGAGATTTCGCTAGATGTTCAATAATGTTCAATAGAAAATATTCTATAGAAAAAGCCAGAGTAAGGGTCTACATCAGGGTCATGGGGGCGAACACCAAAAACTAAGTGTCACCAGGGTAGAACCAAGGGTCACGAGGGTTATAATGAGGGTCAGATTATGGATTCAAATAAGGGTCACAAGGGTCAAATTAAGGGTTCAAATAAGGATCATGGGAGCTGAACCAAAGGGTTATAAGGGTCAAAATAAGAGTCTCTATAGACCATGCTTACTTACCCTAACACAAAAAATTGGAAACTTAAATTTGAGAGATTACAAAGCTTCCATTCCATTGAAATCAAATCTTTCCTCGACGTTTTTTATTGTCGGTCAGTTGATAATGTCGTCACTAATTGGTCATGTGACGAAAATTTTATGGTTGACCATATATTTAGTTGGGCTATGACCGTCATATTGTAATGCCGCCATAATTCGGTCATATGACAACAATTGTCATAATTGGCCTTTGTCATGTGACGGTCATTGACGTGTCAAAATTTTTGCATATCCCTAGTTCTCATGCCCAGAATGAACTCATGGTCCATTCAATCATTCTAGAAGACGAGATAGTCCTGATCGAGCACCTCCCCGGTCGCCGAGTTCACCTCCAAGACTTCTTCTGGACCGGCGCAGAGGACGCGCCGTCATGGTTGGATCCAGACCAGACCCTTACCTTCTACGAGACTCGAACAATCCACCACACAGCGACAGTCTTCGTTCCTGGCGAAGGAATCGTTCCAGGGCCAAGCGAAAACATCCCCAGTGTCGCCCCCCAAGACCCGGGCTGTACAAACTGCATCGAGCCCACCCCCACGCTGGTTGATCCTGACCAGGACATTGGCATCCTCGTGGGTGACGACCCAGGCCCCAGGTAAATGTCATCCACTCAATTCAATCCATACACCATATCCAATCAATTAAGCTGAATTGAGGTTTCTATTATGTACAAGATCTATGCGCGCGCTCTCGCGCGCGCTGATCTATTCATTTGTTGAAATGAAGAAATGGAATTTATTAAATTTCATTTTCTCATGAATACTTTATAAATATTGATAATGAATCAAAGAGAATTCGACTAATGATTGAAGTGAATAGCGAAGTAGAGTAAAAGAATCTATAGAGAATTTTTCATTTTCAATTAATTATCTTCAATTTTTTAAAATAATCGGTCTCCATAAAAGGACAAAATTTATTAATTTCACCGATAATATATATATATATATAATATCGGTTATATATATATATATTATCGGTGAAATTAATAAATTTTGTCCTTTTGTGGAGACCGATTATTTAAAAAAATTGAAGATAATTAATTGAAAATGAAAAATTTGACCGCCATTACGAGTCGAGCAACGCGACAACACCGCACACCAGATGATTGAGGTCGGTAAAGTCGGTGAAGATAATTCAGTGCTGGAAGCATATGGACACGTATAACACACACAAACATTCATCTCACTGTTACAGCCCCACTACTAGCCGAACCGTGCGATGTTGCCTGATCAAAAATCGACTGTTACCACTGCAGTCACAAGTCCTCCATTATTTATGACCATTTTCTTTAATTGTTTTTTTTGAGACCGGAAAAGTACGCCATAACACTTCTAATTTGATGAGAAAAATAATTTGTAACATGAATGATTTATTTCGTCAATTTGATTTTTCTTTTCAACTACGTTTTCCACTTGATAGGCTAAACATCCTTAAGAACCCAACGATTTTAGAATCAATACTTTTCTCACTTCAAATAGAAAGTCTTTCGTTACTGAATCTCTGAGTTGTTTCTTCTGACATTGAGTGAGCAGTTTCTTATTCTCAGTAGAATGCTTTTTAGACCATGAGTTAATATTAGTGATCGGCATCAATCATTATTCCAGAAATATTAAGAGAATTATTTCCCCAAATGACCGAATTCATTCTTTTATCATTGGAACTTGGAAAATAATAAATAATTGAGAATTTAATTTTTTTCAATAACTAATAGGTAATTAATTGGAAATTATCAAAAAATATTACAGATTATCAAATAATCGCCATTCTTCCGAATTCGATTATTGATTGGTAAAATAATTCGGAATTCAAAATTTTTTATTGTTGATTAATTAATAATTGAAAATTGTCAAGTTCTATTACTTGATTGAGCCTTTATGAAATTAATGATAATGATAATTTATGATTGTGCCTATCTCTGGTTAATATTAAGGATGTTCTACACCCTTTCTGCCAAAATTCACGTTTTTTTAATTTTTCTGGCAAACTTATGATGGAATTGACGTGAAAAAATATAACGTTTTTGCGTTTTGTCATTATTTAATGACTGACGAAATTTTAAGGTGGTGCGAACATTTTCCTGCGTTTTCTCTAAACTTTTAAAAAGAATCACAAAACTGTAGAAAAAACGCATGAAAATTATCGCACCACTACGCAACTTCGTGAGCCATTAAAGAATGACAAACCACAAAATCGTTATATTTTTTCACGTCACTCCCATCGATAATTTGCCAGAAAAATGAAAACAACGTCAATTTTGGCTAAAAGGGTGTCGAACATCCTTAAATCCGTAACTTGGGTCTGGAAACTAGAAATTGTTTCCTTTGCGTTCTATCGACGCATTCAGCTACTGGTCCTAATCATTCATCCACTGATCTATCCACTTTACCTCAACTTCAATGTTTTTTACATTCTGCATATTTGGCAGGTACTGGTTACTAACCGTTCTTCGTTCCGGTGAAAGCGTGCCGCCAAAGGTGGAGCTGAGATTGGCTCGTTTATACCGCGCGGCTTTTGCCAGACAGCAGCAGCGTCATCTCGGCCTCTTATCCACCGATCCTCGTTTGCGTAGAGCCACAAAACGGAGATTGATTACAGAGAACACTAAGAGTATATTAAAGAGCCCAAACGACTCTGCGCAAAAAAGTACAGGCATCGACAGTCTGTCATTAGTAACAGAAGCCTCATCAAGCCTCCAACCAAAGAAGGAAGGCGTACGCATGAGGGAATTCAAGATCTCCAAGGATTACAAATTTCTGATCGATAACACTGACATCGACCAAACAACAGCATCCTCTGTACTAGCCGAAAATAACGACGGCTCCTCAAGCTTTCGAGTTGAAGGGCAGCCTTCACTATCTTCAGCAGGAATTACAAAAATAAAGGAATTTAGCGACAGTATTACGTCAACTTCCCCTGGAAATATCGAAGCCACAGAGAGCAGAGAAGAATATTCTCCTTCGAGTGAAGAGTATTCTTCAACCACAAGAATCGCGGGGATTCCCCAGTACCTAATGGGTGGAAATTCTCAGTTTTATCCGGACATGAGAGATGTCGACAATCTAGAGCCGACAATTAATGACGATAAAGTATCATCAAGTGAGGGAGATAATGATGAAGCCGTCAGATTGAAAAAGTCGAATGAGGCTGAGGAGAATGGTACAGAGGTTGTGCGAGAGCCACAATCGGCAAAGTTGAACTCAACGAATTCGAGACTGAGAACGTCGGGAATGGTTCAGGTGAGAATAGAGATGTGAAGCGATCTTGTGACATTTCATATGAGCGTCATAGGGTAGATGCAAAAATTAGTTTTTATCACACGGAGAGAAAAATTCAATAAAAATGCTACGTAATTCTACGATTTATTCCGTAAAAATTAACCACCCATTTGATAACTGATCGCTGTGGGGACAACAAGTTGTTCCGTAATTAAAAAAAAAAATATTTAATTAAAAAAGTGTTTATGATTATGTTCCAAGTGAAAATGGTTTATTTCGACATTTCTGGCGCCTCCGAGGATATCAATGGCATCAGAGGAGTCAATAAATACGGAATCAACATTCACTTGGCGAAAAAATTCGATTTTGGCGAAAGTCGACTTTCCCGTTAAAAAAATCCAAGATCTGACACTTTAGCCCCCGGTGAAGAAAAATTTTTTTTATTTCTACATTTGTTGCGCCTCCGGGGGTTTCATTGGCATCAGAATCTTCAGAAAATACAGAATCAGCCTTCACTTGGCGAAAAAATTCAATTTTAGCGACAATCGACTTTCACCCTGATCCTTGATCCACGTGAAAATGAAAAATTTTTTTTTCGTCTTTTCTGTCACCTCCGAGGGTATTCATTGGCATCAGGGGGTCAATAAATACAGAATTAACGCTCACTATTTTTTATTTAAACACCGCCTGCAGAGAGATGAGGGTGGCTAAAATATATTCTGCAACCCTGTCTCCTCGTTGGCTACAAATTTCAACCCTCCGCATACATGCCTTCCCCTTCACCCGCTCGTAAAATCACGCGTTCTCGGTAGCATCGAGGAGGACTTCTCAGGACCGAAAAGAACTGAGGATTCGAAAGGTCTGCGGAAAAGTACGTCGCAGAACTGATTAGGACTTACCAGGTCAATCTAGATCTGGAGAGATCTTGAAAGACCTGTGTACGTCCAATCAGAACCAAATCCTCGCCTCGGACGGATTCTGTAATGTGAAACCAAACAAAATCCAGCGGAGAAAACAGAAAATTTATGCCCAAAAAATAATTCTAAACAACAAAAGCTGAAGAGAAAAATTCGAACAGAAATTCAAAATATATTGAGTTTCTCCTGTCAAATATGCAATAGACTTAGCGTAAAAAACAAAAAGACTATTTCAATCGAATTTCAATAGAATTTCAATAGAATTTTCTAGCCAATTCGCTAGGTTTTCTATTGGATTTTTCCATGCGTGTGTGCATGACTGTCATAAATTCCTCATGACGAAAAAAACGGCAATATTCAAAACTTTAGGTGAGAATGCAGAATACAACAGTCCTGGAGGATGGATCAACGAGGCTAATTTATTCAGTGCATTTGGGGGGAAAACCAGTGCCCGCTGAGACAGCGGCCAAAGACATGGCACTGTTATCGCCTCAGGAGGTCGCACTGGAGCTGGGTGCACCGGTCATTATTCAGAGTGAACGTAAGTTCTGCATTTATTACTGATTTGGGGGGAACGGAGCATATTCGTGTGATTTGAATGGTGGTTGTTTGGAATTTTAGCATATTTAAAGGAATCCCGGCCATTGGCACTCTCGAGGAGGAGAGATGCCTGGTTGCTCGTGGGAGCTGCTAGTGTCGCACTCATTCTCCTGCTGGTTCTCGCGGGAATTATTTTGGCGTTGAAGAGGAAAAAAGCACATAGTGCTGTTTCGGCCCCACCAACGCAGAGTATCTTGAAGAAGGAGAGGGGAGGCTATACTCCAACTACTCCAGGACTTGATAATACTGGGTACACGTCGGAGACCGAGGGGAGAGTAAGTTTATTAAATTAGGTGGAGGGAGATGTTTTTTATTGCAGTGGGAAAAAATTCTAATGTCTGAAACATATTTACTTGAGACAAGTAATTTTTTTTCAAGCGCATAATTCTCCCAGGCATCTCAACTCACGTGGCCCGAGAAAGGTCGCTTGCTTTGAGAGGAAACGGAACCCCTGTGTCTACATGAACTTTTAGAATTGCATTTTTTCGAACAGTAATTAATTTTTATCTATGACTAGGAAATTCGCTCCCCTTTCCAACCCTCATATGACCCACATATGATCCCCATATGACCCTCATGAGCCTTATTCGGACCCTTGCGACCCTTAATCTGACCCTTGTGACCCTCATTCTGACCTTTAGTAAACTCCTCGTGACCCTTATTTTGACACTTAATTTTGGAGTCTTAATTTCATGTACCAGATTTTCATCATCAGAAATCGATTTGGATTTTTATAATCTAAAAAGAGATATAGAAAACCTTATTTTGACCCTTGTGACTCTTAGTTTCTAACCCCCATGACCCTTATGTGGACCCTTAATCTGACCTTTGTGATCCTTCATCTGATCTTTGTGACATTTATTTGGATCCTTAGTCTGACCCTCATTATAGCCCTAGTAATCCTTATTTTGACCTTAGTGACCCTTAGATTCTGACCGTCGGTTTTTGACCCTTATGATCCTTAATCTGACCCTTGTTACCCTTATGTGGACTCTTATCCTGTCCTCGTGACCCTTATTCTGACCCTCAAGACCCTTATTCTGATCCTTAAGACCTTATTCTGACCCTTGGTTTTTGACCCTTATGACATTCATTTGGACCCTTAATCTGACCCTTGTTACCCTTATGAGGACCCTTATCCTGCCCTCGTGACCCTTATTCTGACCCTTAAGACCCTTATACTGATCCTCAAGACCTCTATTCTGACCCTCATGACCATTATTTTGACCTTCATGACCCTTATTTTGACCCTCGCAATCCTTATTTTTACCCTTGTAATCTTTATTTTTGGAGTCTTAATTTCCAGTACCAAATTTTCATCACCAGAAGTCGATTTGGATTTTTATAATATAGACCAACTACTTTATCGACTCGATCATTGCACTGTTGAGTCAATGCAGCAGTTTCGTAAATAAAAAATAATAATTGCCGAAGAAAGAACAATTTGAAAAGTTCATATAGACACAGGGGTTTCATTTCCCTTTACGAATCTCCAAGTATCTTTTACGGTTTGGTACAGACAACACTATAGATTCAACCATTTCCAATCATTAAATTGGTCAATTAAATTGGGTGAGAAAAATTTGAAAAAAATCATGACTATTCAGCGTCAAATGAACTTATCCTATTGTAACACTCTTTCACTGCATTTGAAGAGAAGAGGAAGCTTCTTCATCAGTCATAAATTTACTCATCGGACACTTCTACACGGAGAAAAAAGTTATGTAAAAACAATCCAAAAAGTCTGGACAAATTTTACAGGTCGAAAAATAGTTTAAGTGGGTGATGTGTTACGATTCGTCCAGTGAAAAATAACATGTGTGGAAAAATACATAACGATTCTTTGTCCAGTTGAATTTCCAGCACCTGTACGTGATTTTTTTTTTTTATATTCCGGCCCTTTCTGCCCTCTGATTGGCTAATCGGCCCTATCCAACCCTATGCATGCGGCTGTGGATTCTACACTGCACCGCATTCGCACTCCTATAGAACATAGGAGTAGCACGGGAAACCACAGAAAACCCATGCCGGTACAGGCAGTCACTATATTAGCGACCTCCCGCTCGCCGGAGCCACCGGTTGAAAAACTCGGTTCCACGCGGAATCGAACTCACAACCTTTCGCACACTAGGCTCGGACCTAGCCGCTTCGGCCACCGACGTCGGTGTCCTGTACGTGATTATTAATATTATTTTTGGCACCGATGCGAACGACGACGAAACGAATCAAAGCGAAAGCTCACGATATATTTTCCGAGAAAAACCGATCACTATTGCAGAAAAATTCTTAGACACTGAGTAGTTATTTACTGTCGCTGTCGTCATTTTTTATGCAATTCCAAGTCAATTTTACCAGTTTAAAACAAATTACATTTTTATCCTGGATATGGAGTCAAAAAGACGGATTCAGTTTACAACCGCGGCCCGTACTAATTTATTTTATGTCATTAGGCCCGATAAACCGCTTCGCCTCGCTTCGCTCGGTTAGAATCGCGGTTTTCGGGCCCAACGACATAAAATAGCGTATATCACACGGCGATAAAAGCATTATCTGGCGAATGTGAGTATAAAGCCGCATTCGCCAGATAATACTTTTAACCCCAAAAAGGTCCACATTATGAAATTCCAAAGGTGATATATGAATTTGAAAAATAAATGAGAGTAAAATAGGAGATTATGGTATTTGTGGCCGCATTATAAACTGAAACCAAAAAGACCTGGAGCGCAATTTCCCTCCATTATTACTTGACGTTTTTAGTGATTTTTCTTTAATTATTTTCTCCTTGTATACTGTTGGAAAAAATTAAAATTTCAAAAACAGTTGACGGGTAATTTTCAGGAAAGTGACATTAAATTCGATTTAGATGGAAAAAAAAATCATGAAATTCCTCCTTTTTGAATAGCAGGAAGACGACAATTCCCCATTTACTTGAATTTTCAATCAAACCATGAATATCTAGTATGTGAAGTTTTCAATTAATTGAAAACTCAAGAATATATTTTCCTGAGTTTTTCTTATTTCTAGTAATTCCCATCGAATAATTGGCCTGAATGTCACAGTTTCCATGAATTTTTCCATAAAATTTTGAATTTTCAAAGTCGAAATTTCCTGAAATTACAATATGATAAAAATTTCCACCACGTGTACCCAAATTTTCAGCCAAAAATTTCTAACAGTGTAGAAATGTACACTGATAGACTGATTCATTTATTCCAAACGAGATTCGTGAACTATTAAGGAACGGTAGAGTTGAATATGGCCAAATGAATATTCGTTAATAGATAACGAATGGCTCACTTGAAAGGTTCACTTGAAAATCGAGCCTTCTCAAATGTGCATTTGTTAACTATTAATCAATGAGCATTTGGTGAGACCGAATAGACTCTCGTGTCCAACAAAATCCATTCGTTAACAATAGCTAATCCTTTCTATCAGTGTATCAATTTCAAATCAACTTGTCTTTTTATACCCTCGCGCTTACTTAACTAATGTATTTTTACCACCTGATTAGAAAAAAATAGTTCAGACATTGTCTCTGTGCCAACTGGTACTACCCCACTCCCACACACAGTGTGCCTATCTCACATGCCATTAGACTCGAATAATTACGAATCAACGAACTCCCGTAGACTCTGGGTTGCGTGCCGAACGGTGCGTGATACGAAAAGTTTTGGTACAGTTGTCTGATACTCCGAGAGAGGAGCGTACAACGTACAGAGGGGATTCAGGAATGACGAACGGCATGCAAAGTTTGCCGGAAGGTAGACAACGAAATTGTCTCGAAATTCGTATTGTTCAATAATTGAAGGGGTGTAAATATGTTCACATCAAACATTGGAGAAGTTTCACGAAGAATTTCACTTCGGTGACTCGGAAATCGTTGCGCAGTCCGTAGAATCTCAAAGTAGCAATCTTCATACTTCAGTCGAGAGTAATGATAGCGTTTGTGTTATTACAGAGTTCTTTGAGTCAATTATTGTGGAAGAACTTTGTTAATGAAATAACAATACTCTATTATTTTGAATTGTCATGGAAGACGATATGTAAAAGATGTAACTCGGAAAGCTAATTTGAAGAAAGATGTATCATTGAATTTTTCAATTCAACTTTGGAACGATTCAACATTATCGTTTTATGAATAAATTTCAGAAATTTCCATTCTAAATATGAAACTTTATTAAAAATTCGCAAAAATTATTTATTCTTTTTTGCTTTCATCGTCAGAGAAAAAACAGAAAAAAATCATTCCTTCAGTGATAAAAAGAGCATACACTGTTAGAAAAAAATGCAATTTCATGGACAGCTGTCTACTAATTTTCAGGGCAGTGACACTGAATGCGATGTAAGGGAAAAAATCATAAAATTTCAGGTTTCACTGAAAATTCAGTAAAATTCCAGAATTTTAAGCAGCATAAAGACGAGAATCCCTTAATTTATTTGAATTTCCAATCTAATATGAATATCCCGTGCCAAATTACATTGAATTTTCAGGCAAATCTGAATTTTCATAATTTTTTCCCCCTAAATCGCATTCAGTGTCACTGTCCTGAAAATTCAAAAATATATTTACCGGAATTTTTTGGTATTCTATTCATTTTCGGGGATAAATGGAACTGAAATTTGCAATTCTCTTCGATTTTTCCGCGAAATTCTGAATTTTCAATGACGAAATTCGTTGAAATTTTTGTGGTAATTAAATTCGATACAAATTTCCAAAAAGTGTGCCGAAAATGTCAGCCAGAAATTTTCAACAGTGTATTCGATTCATTCACTATAGATTTCAACCAAGAAATCGATGTCCTTCGGGATAAAGTAGTACGATACTAAATGGAAAATTAGTATTTTTTTTCACACTGAGAATATTCTTGAAACAACTAGGAAAGTCTGAAATGAAGAGATGTCTGTCATATTTCAGGAACGTCTGGAGGAGTTCCTTCATGTTTTCCGTATTCATCCAATCCAAAAGTCCCACGTCACGATTCACTTCGTCCAACCTTCTGGTATTTTTAGTCATTTTCTCATCCCCTGACACAGGAAAACGATTTCTCGAGTCAATAAATTTTCACTTGATCATGAAGTACTCATGTTGAAGTCGTGAATCCCACGGGATTCTTGTCTCAAGCAATTTGACCTGAAGGGATAATATGTTTGCGTCAAGATATTCTCTAATGGGTTATTTTGTGCAATAATAAATCATTCTTTTTATGATTTTTTCTCGACACTTCAGTAGCGAAGTGGTAAAACGGTTTAAATCGTCGTATCTCCCACTTCAGTTTTTGAGGAATATTTCCGAATCTAAGGGAGATAGCGAAATTTTCGGAATTACATTTGTCGTAGCTCTCAATTGGCTCTACAAAAAAGTTTATAACAAAAATTTTGCTATCTCGCTTAGATTCCTAGATATTCATTGAAAACTGGCCAATAGTCGAAATTGACTTGAACTGTTTTACCACTTCGCTACTGAATTAAACTTTTTGATTTTCACATTTTCTAAATATTTTCTAACAGGTCGAAATGGAGAACCAAGTTCGCATATTCAAAAGATTTGAATAGTAACATCCTTGCAAAATGATGGTGAAGATAATGATGATGATAATGATAATGTTCAATCATAAATCAGTAGCGACTCTGTAAAACAGTTCAAGTCGATTTAGCCTTCAGCTGAGTTTTTGAGAAATATCTCTGAATCTAAGGGAGATGAAATTTTCATATCGAAAAATCGAAATCTATTGACTGGTTCCTACCAAATATCTCATAGAATTAGCGCAAAAAACGAATAGAATTCTAACGAGAATTCCCTAGAATTTTATTGAATTCCAATAGAATTTTCTAGCGAATTCGCTAAGTTTTTCTATTGAATTTATTCATATGTACAACGAAAGATAATTATCGCATTACTTGGACATCGAATTACTCTTCGAGATGAATAAATTCCAAATCGATCCCGCAAACTCCAATAAAAATCGGGGACCCTAATGAGAATATGCCATTAAAAAACCATTGATCAAACAATGAAGATGGCTTAAGTCCGAGACTCGATACTCGAGACGTATTGATCACAACAAAACACCACTGCTATCATGCGATCGGTGATTGCCGTTGTGTAGGGTTTACTATAGGCTCATGGATTATTTTCTCGTCTTTCAGACCGAAGGTACCAGCCAGAGACAGACGCCGGGGAGTATTTCGAGATCCCCAGCGACGCCAATCACTCCGGATACCTTGGACGAAGAGATTCACGAGTTATCTAGTGACAACAACGACGAGAAGGATGAGGGAGACGTGAAAAAACAGGGCCATGAGCACTGGGACATTGAGGAATATCCGTTATCAGGAAAAAAATCACGGTATTACCTTCTATTAATATTCTGCAATATAACAAGAATATGAATCGATATTTTTTGCAATTTCTATTTTGAATGGATGAAGGAAATGAAGAGTTGTATCCCAAAAATATCGAGGAGAGATAAATCTATGGATTTTTATTTCTCTATTTAAGTCGTTTCGTCGAGATTTTTTCTGTGAAAATCTTCACGTATTTTTCTTGTTGTTTTTTCATTTTCTCATGTAAGAGATGAGATAAAAAATTATTGGGAACAGCTTGGAAAATTCATGCTGTAGAATTTTTATTGAAGAAATATCAACAGAATGAGTTTTACACAGAAATTAAAACCTATTGATTTCGTTCTATTATATACTTGGCTTGTGGGCGCGCTTTAGCGCGCGTTTATCTATTCGCTGCGACAATGAAGAAATCGAATTTATTAAACTTCATATACTCATACATGTTTTATAAATATTGATAATGACTTGAAGAGAATTAAGAGAATGAAGAGTGAAATATTAATGAATAATTTTTAAACTTCGATTAATTCTTTTTTATTACTTTTTAAAACAATCTGATTAAAATCTGTAATTGTTGAAAGATGAGGGGAGGGTTATGAATTGATTTCCTAGAAAATTGGAATTTCTTGAATTCTTCGGGAATTTCAGTTTTCCAGATAACCGTAGATCTTCAAAGATTTTTCTCGGAATACTTGGAAAACCCAAGAATTTTCATGAATTTTGTAGAGTTTAGAATTGATGTATGAAACTCTGAGAGCAAGAATTGATCATTTTTGCGTACAATAAATAAAAAAAAAAAAAAAAATTGGGAGGTGAAGAACAATTTGTGAGTTTAAAAAATTTACAAATCCTACGTTTTTTTCTCATGATCAACAATTAGGCAATTTAGATATGTTTTGATATAAAGATAATATTCACACATGAAAAAAAGAGGAATTTGACGCAGAAATTTTTTTTGGCATTTAAAAAATTCGAAATTACGGGGATTTTTTTCAGCGACTATTCCACGTGACTCATGTGACTCGGAAAAAATTTCCGAGAATTTTTCGACCGGGAAAAAGCCTGGGGAAGATTCCAAATGGAAAAAATTAGTGAGGGAAAAAAATTTCCAAGAGAAAAATTAATGAGGGGAAAAAATTTCCACAGGAAAAATTCGCCGGGGACAAATTTCCGGTAATTTTTTAATGGGCAAAAAAACTTCGATCGCAAAATTTCTCTTACATAAGAGTTTATTCGGGTACCGATTTACTCACTCACTGCCCCAAATTTTCGTCTGATTGACAGAGCTGGAAGACGAAGGATGACACGAACAAACGCAATAGAAACCACTGGGAGTCCCGATTCCCTCGACACAGTGATTGATCATCAACAGCATCGAGACTCCCTCGAAAACGGTTGTACTCACGTTCTCGAGGAAACTGCCTCACCGCACTCTTACTTGTCAATGCCGTCCTGCAAACTATTTCCAAGTATGCGAAGTGTCGAACCATTATCCAGAATTCTCGAGCCAGTCGTCGTAAGTTCCTCCACATTACTTTCTAATAACACGAAGATGGCATTGCACTTGTCGTAAATTACATTTATTCCACATCAATGTGGGGGATCGTAAATTATTAAACGTATGAATTTTAGGTGAGGCACTTGGACATGGAGTTTGAAACTCCTGAGATGTCGAGGAGAGGAAATGGATTCAGTCACAGAGACTCCGGGGATGAATTATTAGGGAGAACTAGGAGTGCTCTCAAGGATCCGGGAGTAGTAGGACCGATTGTTTGGGATCTGAGGAGACAAAGGGCTGTCGAAGGTCAGAACGCGTCTTTCATGGAATTAATTATTTGAACTGATGAATTTCTTTGATGTATATCGACCCATCCAGATCCCTGAGACTGTAGCTAAGATGTGATGAATAATGATGGGCGGGAAATAAGACTCTCAAAGAGAATCGTATCATTCTTTTTCTTTGAGAAAGAGAGAAATCGAGGGGAGTTGACGCAAATGAGCATCACAAGGACTTGGAGAAGGTCTTATTCGATAATTTCTTTCTTGTATCGGATATTTTCTCGTTTACAAAGCGTATTTTTCATTGCTTCTATTTTGAAATGACTGAAAACGATTTTAATGAACTCGAAAGATACGCTAGTTAGAGTCTGTAGTATGAGCCCAGTTCGATTGCAAAGATTAAAATCTGAAATAAATTCTAAATGGAAGTTAATATCAGGAGAAACATTGCGGGTGAATTTGTGCGGAATAGTTTGTTTAGTGTTGTTAACAATTAATTTAGAAGTGGCAAATAACAGAGTCTTATGCGAAAATGACTGTTTTCTCATTTTTAAGGCTAGATCAAACGGTAAGGATATCCAAGTAACTTTTACAGTTTGGGAGATTCAACCATTTTCAATTATTAAATTTGTCAATTAAATTGCGAGAGGAAATTTCAAAGAAAATCGTGAATGAATATTCAAATTACATTTTCCACAGAGTTATTATTTTTTGGACATTCCGTGTTTATAAATGAATAATTGAAATTGTTCAACTTTCGGAAGCCTTATTTTTTTAGGTATGAAATCGTTTTTTCATAAAATTCTGTATATGAATAAATTCGTTACGATTCCGAACAAATGGTTTTAATGGTGAAAAATTGATTGTTTATAAATTATTTATATAAAATACCCGTAAGTTTCAAAAATTGAAATTTTTCAACTATTTCATCATCAATCTTCCTCTAAAACCAAACTTTATAATTTTTTTTCAGATTTGCAAAATGTTTTCTAACGGTTCAATATCGAGATTCAAATTCAGACCTAGAAGTTTAAATAATAAAATCCTTGCAAAATGTCCGGAAACTAAGTGTCTAAAAATGGAAAAGCATTTCACTGAAAAAAAAATAGCCAAATTACTTGGATGTCCTTAAAAACAAGAAAACCAAAATTTGAAAAAAAAAGAAAACAACGTATGTTTAATATGAAAATTATGGTCATCTTATACTTTCGCAATTCATAATGCGTGTTATGAATGGCAAGCTATCTGAAACAGATGAAAACGCGCTAGTCGAACGAGATACTATTGGTTCGCAATCAAACAAAATTTAATGAACTCCAACTCATCAATGAATGAAATTTCCACTTCCATTCTCATTTTAATGAGTTCGTACTCATCAGAGTTAAGATTCTCATGAAAAACCTTTATGCTATTTCAATTGGGAGAATTCTGTGAAATTCAAGAGCATTTGGGACAGAATTAATTGATTAACTTTTTGTTTAAAACGGTTCTATTGGTAGAATCTTCTCAACTCAATAAAAATTTCGGTTTCATCGTTTCCGGAGTGTCCCCAGTGATATGATGGACATCTCACTAAATTTTGGCAGCATCGCCCATTCAAGTAAAAAAATCCCTCGACGGCTTCACGATTCCATAAATTCTGGGAATTCTGCCAAAAAGCTTGTTTGATTCTTCAAGCGTGGGGGCTCGTCAAATATTTTGTCAGTCCAAACTAGAGATGCTAAATGACCATTTTTTTGGGATCGCGTCATGCGACAAAAAAAGACGGTCCTGTGACGTCACAAATGTGCTAAGTACAAATGATGACTACGAGTAATTCGTAAACCAATTGTGGTGGAACCATCTATGGTGATGCAATAATGACGGTCATAAATATTTTCTAATTTGCGACGGCCATCGATAAATTATGTAGGGTCCATATGAAAAGGCTCCACTTTGTCGTGGCCTGCTTCTGAGATTTTGTCTCCACAACTTCCATTTAACCCTAGACTGGTTACCATGCGAAGGAATTGCCGCAACACGTCGTTTTATTCACCTTCCTATCGACTGGTTGACCGGAAAAATTTGAGAAAAATTAAATTCGTCAATTCAAGTATCTGGAAAATTCTAGTATTTTTTTTTCAATATTGTATCCTTAATTCTGGGAGAAAAAAAATATTTCCAACAGGTGAACAATTTTTTTCCGTGTTAAATGAAATTGTCTGTTGCGCGACGTTGCTGGGAACTCGCTAAACGCGCCCGGGAAGTGTTGAGTGGATTCGGCAACGCTGGAGCCTAAGGAATACGGCGGCACTCTCCCGCGAAGGTGACTAAAGTCGCATTTTTCCGTCAGGTGACCACACTAGGGTTATTCACCTTCCCATCGACTGGTTGGCCGGAAAAATTTGAGAAAAATTGAATTCGTCAATTCAAGTATCTGGAAAATTCTAGTTTTTTTTCAATATTGTATCCTTAATTCTGGGAGAAAAAAAATTATTTCCAACAGTTGAATAATTTTTTCCCGTGTTAAATGAAATTGTCTGTTGCGCGACGTTGCTGGGAACTCGCTAAACGCGCCCGGGAAGTGTAGAGTGGATTCGGCAACGCTGGAGCCTAAATAATACGGCGGCACTCTCCCGCGAAGGTGACTAAAGTCGCATTTTCCCGTCAGGTGACCAGACTAGGGTTAAGGTACTTCTTCAATGAGTTATACTTTGTGAAAATTTCGCAATGAACTGAAGACCTAAAATTTGGATCATATGTTGTTGAGCACATGTGAAAACGACTCCCAAAATTTCAAGTATTCTTTCCACGCGAATTTTTGAGATATGCATCGACAAAAACTTGAAAAAGACAAAAATTGAATGTTTGACGATTGATATCTCAAAAATTCGCGTGGAAAGAATACTTGAAATTTTGGGAGTCGTTTTTACATGTCCTCAACAACATATCCAAATTTTAGGTCTTCAGTTCATTGCGAAATGTCACCAAGTATAACTCACTGAGGAAGTACCTTAAATCAATATTAATAATATATTTCGATGCAAGTGCGCTGGGTTTTTCACGAGTGTGAAGTTGGAGGCCAGATGCGAACCACACGCGCACGGAAAGTTTTGCTTTACGCCCTCGAAATTCCTTTTACGCACGCTCTTGAACTTTACGCACTAGGGCACAAAAACAACCACTTTACCCCCACTACCGTTTCGAACGGCGAACTGGGCAGGTAGGGATATCACAAAAAAAGGATGTGTTACACGTGCGTGCGAAAAAGTGGAACTTTACGCCTTAGTAATACAATATAATAATTTCATCTGTACAGCACTGGGAGAAAAATCTGAAGTTCGATTTACAATAAGAAAATAGTTGAGGCATTTTGGTGAACGATTCGATTTTTTTTTGTATGCGGCACATAACATTATAGTAACTTCACAAGCGTAATTTTTGCAAATTAAAATACAGTTAAACTAACCAAAGTTCAAAAGTCACCACGACAAATCTATCGTGAGCAGAACTCAGTAGCGAAGCGGTAAACCGGGTTAAGTCGATTTTGACTATTGGCCAGTTTTTGACGAATATCTGGGAATCTAAAAGAGATAGAAAATTTTTTGTCATGACCTTTTTTGTAGAGCCAACTAAGGGTTATAAAAAAGGTAATGAGCAAAATTTTGCTATCTCTCTTAGATTCCGAGATATTTGTCAAAAAATGGCCAAAAGTCAAAATCGACTTAACCCGGTTTACCGCTTCGCTACTGAACTATAAAATAGTTGCAATGACTACATTCCATTGTAGTAATTACTTCTCCGGCCATAGTTACCGTAACCCATGAAAAATTGTTGAGGACTTTTAGACTATAATTTGATGGTGATGGAATATAGTCAGCAGAATTATATTTTTCTCTCACTGAGGGTGAGAGTTATATTTGTCTCTCCTCCTTTTCCTTCGAGAGTATTGAAGAGGATACTTTTTGAAGTGGAAAGTTCCCCTTCCCCTTGTGGATCTGAGCACAGCATTGTAATCATATCAGTGGTCACTGAGTCCTTGCCACCTAACGGATCACATGCGCATTAGCATTTCTAGTAAAGACCTCAGGCATCTGGAAAATGGGTACTCCTCTCACCAAAAAGAATGCCCAATCCCCTCGTTTTAAAAAAAAGACATAACTGTTTGCAGAAAGCTTGACATCGGAGACGGACGTCGAGCGTCAAGCGCCTTCGTCCGGACCAGTAGGTCGAGCAAGGAGAAGACTCCACGAGCTCCTCGAGGATTCGTTCAGCCTCTTCAGCACGAGAGAGGTCAAGCAAAGAGACACAGTACCAGTGTCTTCTACATTGCGTCCGAATTCGGCGGCGATAACACCCGATCGTGCTACGATGCATTCGGTATTGAGAGGGAAATCCGCCCACGTCAGTCCCGTAGGAAGTCCCATAGACAACGTAAAAAATCGTCCACGCACCTCAGTACCCCGAAACGAGGACGAGATAATTCCCGAAACCGGAAATATGGGACCACCAGCGAGAGGTGCGTGGGGTTCGAGACCGATGAGCGCGGGCCCATTCCACCGTCCAAATTTACCAGAGGTAGACGTAACAAGAGTACTCGCCGATCCCCAATTAGCACCCGAGGATCCAGCAGTTCCTCTGATCGCCGCTATTAGAAAAGAGTTAGAGAAATTCACACCAGAGAGAGTTTAATTGTCATGTAGAATGGAATTTATTCAGTATTTATCACACTGTTTTTATTGGTTAAATTTTACGGAAACATTGTATCATTGTATATAAATCATCGTGGTTACTCTTCTTACTGGAGTAGAATATTTTTCAATACTTCATGCAAAATTATTGGAATAAATTTTCACATGGACAAAAATAGCTCATTTTTCTGGTCTTTTCCTGTTCATTTGTCAGTGGATGTTCCCAATTTCTTTAGAAAAATAACCTGAAAAAATAGTTCCACAGGGGAAATACTGGATAGAATATCTTCAAGGAAAAGGATTCTGCAATCAATTCTACTCAGCAGCGAAGATAAAATTCATTGAAGGGCGTTTTTCCATGTTTTCGTGCATGATAATTTCCCATTGAGAGACAGAAAACTAGTGCAATGGAATTGATTCAATACTTATCAAATTGTTTTTACTGGGTGAATTTTACGGAAACATTGTATCATTGTATATAAGTCATCGTGGTTACTCTTCTTACTGGAGTAGAATATTTTTCAATACTTCATGCAAAATTATTGGAATAAATTTTCACATGGACAAAAATAGCTCATTTTTCTGGTCTTTTCCTGTTCATTTGTCAGTGGATGTTCTCAATTTCTTTAGAAAAATAACCTGAAAAAATAGTTCCACAGGGGAAATACTGGACAGAATATCTTCAAGGAAAAGGATTCTGCAATAAATTCTACTCAGCAGCGAAGATAAAATTCATTGAAGGGCGTTTTTCCATGTTTTCGTGCATGATAATTTCCCATTGAGAGACAGAAAACTAGTGCAATGGAATTGATTCAATACTTATCAAACTGTTTTTACTGGGTGAATTTTATGGAAACATTGTATCATTGTATATAAGTCATCGTGGTTACTCTTCTTTCTGGACTAGAATATTTTTCAATACTTCATGCAAAATTATTGGAATAAATTTTCACATGGACAAAAATAGCTCATTTCTCTGTTCTTTTTCTCTTCATTTTTTACCGGATGTTTCTAATTTTTTTACGACACAAACCTTCAAGAAAATAGTTCCGGAGGGGAAATACCGTGGAGAATATCTTTAAGGAGAGGAATTCCACAATGAATTCCACTCAGCAGCGAATGACAAAATGCAATCACAGACATTTTTGCCATTTCTCTCGTGAAGCATCCGTCTCCACTGAGTAAAACAGGAAAGAGAAAATATGAAGGTGTTAGTGTACTAGACCGACCCCTCATCAAATCTTCCGCGGTTTTGAATATATTATAAACAATTCATGTAAAGTATTATTTATTTACATTACTCAAGACATTACTTGTGAATTAGTAATGATGTCACTGAAAATCAGTGACGTCCCTGCAAATTTAAACTTTTTCTTTCTCTGTGCATCAGGTATCAACAGGTATGAACAAATTCAATAGAAAAACTTAGTGAATTCGCTCGAAAATTCTGTTTGTTTTTAGCTCTGATTCCATGAGATATTCGATAGGAAAAAGTCAATAAATTTCGATTTTTCTATGTGAATATTCTCTTGGAATTTTTTCTATAAGAATACTTGGGCATGAATTTTCCAAGTTTTTTCCCTCGGATCTTGTAATGCAAAACAACACAGCATAGAGCGAATAAAACTTTGAAAATCCTTGCCCAATAATTTTAATAGAAAAATTCTCAAGAGATAAATTTAAACAGAAAAATCGAAATCTATTGACTTTTTCCTATCAAATATCTAATAGAATCTGCGCAAAAAACAAGTATAATTTTAACGAGAATTCTCTTGAATTTTAATAGAGTCCCCATAGAATTTCTAGAGAATTTCAATACAATTTTCTACACGGAGAGAAAAATGCAATGAAAATTACCAGGAAAAAACGTAAAAATTGTGTTTCGAAACCTAATTCGCGAGCGAAGGAAAATTCCGTAAAAAGTGTGAGTCGCACGAAGAGAAATTTTCTAGAAAAATTCTAGTACGAGTACTGGAAAAAATTACAATCCACCGGTTGTGAAAAATTCTAGTGCTGTTAAGGTAAAATTTCTTGGTATTTCTGGTAAAATTTCTGGGGATTTCTGTGAAATTTTTACAGAAGTACGAGGAAAAATTCACGTTTTCCCCAATAAAATTTCTAGTGCCGGCCCTGGTATTTTTTCCTGGCCGTCACTTTGCGCCTATTTTCCTGTGCTAGCACTAGAATTTTTCTAAAAAATTGCTCTCCGTGCGGAACTGAAATTGTACGAATCGCCCCATAAATTCTACGAATTGTTCCGTAAAAATTAACCGCCCGTCTGATGAGTCACCGCTGTGGAAACAACAAGTCGTTCCGTAATTTTTCCCCAACGATTGAGAGATTTTACGGAACGGAACGTAGAAATAACTCACCAGCTCCATAAAAATTGTTGAACGTTCAAGAATTTTGGCTTTTGGAGGCATAATAAGTCGGGAAGTTTCTGTAAAGTTTTACTCCTTCGGGAAAACTTGTGACGTGACAATTTCATACTTTGTTCGGTGATGAACCTGAGAATTCACTAAACGTTTCAGATTTACTCTCTTCCATTCACATAAAAATTGCCGGAAAACGATTCCCCATGCGAATTCCGTGAATTGTTCCGTAATTTTTACTGAATATTTCTCTCCATGTAACAATTTCGCTAAGATTTTCTCTTGAATTTTTTCATTCGCGTCGCTTCTCACGTCAATTATGCCGAAAAGAAGGAATATAGTAATAAATTTCTGTTTGTTCTATTTTTACGAGTTGCGCCCCAAAATCTCATGGCAATAAAAAATGGTCAAATAAATCATAAACAAGTCATTCCTACATCCACCTGAATCCTCAAATGCTGCCAAGAAGTTGGGAATGGTGCGCGGGTGTCCTCCTTTTTTCACTCCCTCGGGGAAAAAGTCAACGTTACAACGTGAGACAGCGAGGTCGACTCCGTTTTCAGATTGAAATTATTTTTGGATCGTCGTCCGGAGCTCCTTCTGCCTAGCCTAAAACTGTATCGGCCAATCGTAGTGTTTGGTTTTCCTCGTACTTCTGATCACGTGGTAGTCCTATGCAAGCCCAATACACCAAAGTGATTTTAGAAGCCTGAAAGAGTAATCTACAGTCGAAGCACAGTCAGCTGCCGATAGTCCAGTTGGCTAGTCATAAATATTACTTATCATCAGTACTAGTTTTTTTTTCATCCTTTCAGGTAAGCGGTATCAAAGCATCTGTCCCTTATCATCCAGTACAAATAAGGGACCGCAATTCAAATAAGTCCGGAATTCCTGTGAAATCCAAATTCCTGATCAGTTCAAGTGGACAAAGTGTTGACTACTGAGTCTCCCCAACTATGGGGGATGATAAAAATTGTGACAGTGATGATGATAAGAGGATTTTTGTGCAAAGTGCCACTCAATGATATTCCAATGGTTTCATGTACACTGTTAGAAAAAAAATGAAATCTGATGGACAGTTGACTACCAATTTTCAGGACAGTGACACTGAATGCCATTTAGAGGAACAAAAATCATGAAATTTCAGGTTTCACTGAAAATTCAGTGAAATTCCGGAGTTTTAAGGGGCATAGAGACGAGAATTCCTCAATTTATTTGAATTTTCAATCCAATAGGAATATTCAGCGTCAAATTGCATTGAATTTTCAGTGAAATCTGAAATTTAATGATTTTTTTCCCCCTAAATCGCATTCAGTGTCACTGTCCTGAAAATTCAAGAATATATTTACCAGAATTTTCTGGTTTTCGATTCTTTTCAGGGAAGAATGGAACGGAAATTTACAGTCTTATTTGATTTTTCCACGAAGTTCTGAATTTTCAATGATAAGATTTCCTGAAATTTCAGTGGAATTGGAACACGATAAAAATTTTCGGAATTTGACGCGGAAAATTCAGACAAAAAATTTTAACAGTGTATTTTTATCCCGTAAAACTTGAGGGGATATGTCGGTGAAATTTAAAAGTCTTCACTGAGCCTGGGAACCCATTGAACAGTTTGTGATTTATGACGGAATATGGGAATAACTAGGGAAAATCGCGGACCCGATCGATTTTGCCCCGTATAACTACGAGAAATTTAATTTTTCCTGTTTTTCCTTAAAAATGCTTCTTGGGCCGTACTTTTCATACGATTTTAGCGTTTTTTAAATGTTCGTTACACTCCAAAGAATAAAGTTAAGCATTCGTTTTAATTTATTCGCAATAGATCATGAATAAATGAATTTTGAATTTCATAAACTAGGAATAACTAGGGTGAATCGCGGTCCCCATCGATTTTGCCCCGTATAACTACGAGAAACTTCATTTTTCCTGTTTTTACCTTTAAAATGCTCCTTGGGATGCTCCTTGGCTGCGTACTTTTCATACGATTTCAGCGTTTTTTAAATGTTCGTTACACTCCAAAGAATAAAGTTAAGCATCCGTTTTAATTCATTCGCAATAGATCATGAATAAATGAATTTTGAATTTCATAAACTAGAAATAACTAGGGTGAATCGCGGTCCCGATCGATTTTGCCCCGTATAACTACGAGAAACTTAATTTTTCCTGTTTTTCCGTAAAAATGCTTCTTGGGCCGTACTTTTCATACGATTTTAGCGTTTTTTAAATGTTCGTTACACTCCAAAGAATAAAGTTAAGCATTCGTTTTAATTTATTCGCAATAGATCATGAATAAATGAATTTTGAATTTCATAAACTAGGAATAACTAGGGTGAATCGCGGTCCCCATCGATTTTGCCCCGTATAACTACGAGAAACTTCATTTTTCCTGTTTTTACCTTTAAAATGCTCCTTGGGATGCTCCTTGGCTGCGTACTTTTCATACGATTTCAGCGTTTTTTAAATGTTCGTTACACTCCAAAGAATAAAGTTAAGCATCCGTTTTACTTTATTCGCAATAGATCATGAATAAATGAATTTTGAATTTCATAAATTTTTCGCGTCTCTAGATTGGAGTAAAATTTATGAAATTCAAAATTCATTTATTCATAATCTATTGCGAATAAAGTAAAACGGATGCTTCACTTAGTTTTTTGGATTGCAAGGAACATTTAAAAGAAAAAAGTTCAAATCGTATGAAAACTACGGCGCAAAGAGCATTTTGAAGGTAAAGAAAAGGAAAAAATAAAGTTTTTCGTGGTTATACGGGGCAAAATCGATCGGCTCCGCGATTTTCCCTAGTTATTCCCATATTTCAGGATATATCGCAAACTGTTCAGTGGGTCCCAAGGCCCAGTGAAGACTTTTAAATTTGAGCGACGTATCCCCTTAAGGTATATTCCAAAACAGTCGGACCCAAAAGTTAGTCCCTATATATGGATTTCCGGAAAAAAATTCTAAATAACTTCATTTATTGCATTCTCATAAGTTATTGAGTTTTTCTATTCTCATGTGTTGTTGATGCAGACAGCAATAACTGTTTGAATCAAATGAGAAATTATTTGTTAATTAATTTTTTGAATCAAATAAGAAATGCTCTCTCGAAATTTTCATTTTTTGGAGTTGAATCTGGCAGAAACTATGCAGTATAAAATTTACCAGTCTATCACGGATTAGTTTTTTAAGAACATCGTAGGAACCGTTGTCTCATAAGATGGTAAAATCGAGTTCGGGGGACCTCTAATCCCTGTTTGGCCTATCCCTCGCATGTTAGAAGCCCACACTTCATTATTTATTATCTTCTATACTTTGTAGTACAGCTAGTTATCATTTTTTCAATAGCTGGGGACTGTTATAAACATCATCTATGAAAAACATAGGGACAATCTTAAGAAAAATGTGTTTTCTAGGGATATTTTTTACGGGATAAAAATTTTACGGGCCCTATAAATAGGTATAAATATTTTATACCTTAAGGATATCCAAGTATCTTTTACAGTTTGGTACAGACCACACTATAGATTCAACCATTTTCAATCATCAAATATGTCAATTAATTTGGGTGAGAAAAATTTAAAAAATCACGATTATTCAGCGTCAATCAAATTACATTTTGCACAGAATTGTCATTTTTTTAAAGTTCGTTTTTGATAAATAAATAATTAAAATTGTTTAAACTTTCGGAAATATTATTTTTTTAGGTATAAAATCGATTTCTGGTAAAATTCTGAAGAGGAATAAATTCGTTACGATTCCGAGCAAAGGATTTTTATGGTGGAAAATTTATTGTTTATAAATTATTTATAGAAAATGCTCGTAATTTTTTTAAATTGTAATGTTTTAAGTATTTCATCAATCTTCATCCAAAATTCAATTTTCCTATTTTTTTCAGATTTTTACAATAGTATCTAATGGTTCAGTATGAGAAGATCGACGCCGAATTATGCAGCCGAAAAAGTCGATGTTGACGAATTCTTTCTCAATTTTTTTCTGAAAAGACGGCCCTTAGACGAAAATTTTGAAAAAATAAAAATGGAAAAATATTGATAATTGAGAGAGTTATCATTTTTTGAAAACGACTAGGTTTTGTCCAAAATTTTTTTTTCTAAATTGGCCTCAATATTTCAGTGGGGTTTCAAGCTATCAAATCGCCCTTTGGCACACTCAGAAAACATGAAAAACCCTTCAAAATGAGACATCATACATAGCATTATTTTCTGTTTGATGGCGTTTATACGAGAAAACTTTTTTTTTCAATCGTTAATTATTAAAAAGTGAATTTTTTAACAATCTCAAATTTTCCCGAAAAATTGTCAATAAAATGAAAGGAATGTTGGCGCCAATTTGAGTTTGTCTTTCGCCGTAGTTGGGCGGTTATTATTTTCTTCACTGAGTCAAGTATTGAAAATGATCAAAAATCGCTATTAATCATGCAATTAATGAGTGAAATGAGTGGATATTACTCCGCCAAATGAGTGAATATTCAATTGAATAATTAAAAATGAGTCAATTCAATTACATTCTCGATTACCAACAAATCAAAGCTCTTTGAAAAATGTATTTCCATTGTATAATTAGAGAAATAATAATTTTTCAGTTAAAAAATCATACGGACGATGAATAACAGAAGATATAATGAGTCTAACCTCCATCATTTGCTAATATTTAATAGAATATTCACTTATTTGGGCGACAATTGCATGAACAATACCGATTTTCGGTCATTTTAATACTTATTTCAATGCAAAAATTAATAACCACCGAACTACGGCGAAAGACAAACTCTAATTGGCGCCAAAATCCTTGACATTTTATTGACAATTTTTGGTAAAAATTTCAGATTTTTAAAAAATTACTTTTTTAGTAATTAACAATTAAAGAAATCGTTTTCTCATATAAACCGCGTCCAATTGAAGAAAATGTTATGTATGACGTCTCATTTTGAAGGGTTTTTCATGTTCTTTGAGAGTGTTAAAAGGCGATTTGATAGCTTGAAATCCCACAGAGATATTGGGACTAGTTTGGAAAAAAAATTCCTTTCGATAAAAACTAACAATTTTCAAAAAATCATAACTCCCTCAACTATTCATATTTTTCAATTGTTCTTTTTTCAAAATTTTTGCGTAATCGCCATCTTTTCAGAAAAAAATTGAGACGGAAATCCCCAGCATCGACTGTTTGTCCTGCTGATTTGGCGTGGATCTGCTCATATCGAGATTTAAATCCAGACCTGCCAAGTTTAAATAATAAAATCATTGTAAAATGTCGGGAAACTTAGGGTCAAATGGGGCTCAAATGAAAGCTCCCATGTTCGACTACAAAAGTAGAAAAGCATTTCAGTAGCGAAGCGGTAAAACAGTTAAAGTCGATTCTAACCATTGGCCAGTTTTCAATGAATATCTCGAAGTCTATGGGAGATAGCAAAATTTTTATAATAGCCTTTTTTATAGCCCTCAATTCGCTCTACAAAAAAGGTCATTACAAAAATATTGTCATCTCCCTTAGAGTCGGAGATATTTCTCGAAAACTCCGCTAAGGGCTAAGTCGACGTAACCCATTTTACCGTTTCGCTACTGATTTCACTGGAGAAAAAATAGCCAAAGTACTTGGATATCCTTAACGGCTTCCTCACTTCGGCACCGAGGAACGATCAGTATTTCCACACCCCTCCCCACCCCCCTTTGGCGAATAGTGCGGAAAGGGTTGACGACAAGCGCCTACATTTGGCTAAAATCGTGCATTTCATTTATAAATAGATTTATGAATTTTGTTTCCACCCTCCACGGTTATGAATCCAGCCAACGTCAGTTGTCCC